CTCTCTCACACTCACACACTCCTCTTTCATATACATACAGTACAGGCAATTTTCCACAGGAAAAAAATACTTTATTAATACACTTATATAATGTATACCAACATTTATAGACAAAATATGTACATCAAAACATCTTTCATGTAGGTCCCAAAATATAAAATCTCAAGTACCTCTTTCTATAGAAAACTAGTCTTCTGGTAAAACTTTTACATTCAACTTCTCTCCTCCTCACTCCTTTGACACTATTCATACGTAGTACAGAGAATAAACATCTGAGATTTATCAGCTTTTCACAAGTAAAAGGCAACAGCAAGAACAAACACCAGGTTTGACTTGAGCAGAAACAGATGTCGAGTATGCAGACCAGGTCCAGCACAGTGCTACAGTTTGTACACAGTTTTTTTTGAGTACAGAACGTACAATTGTCTGCACGCCGCCCACCTTCTATCTCTTCGGACGGACAGAGTGCGAGAACAGGTATCAAAAATAGAAATGTACAAGAAGGCTATGAACAATAATTACAGGAAATCCATCTGAACTTGTCTGTCAATTAAAAACAAGACTTCTCATTCAGTGTTGTCATGTGGTGGCCCATTCCTTCATCCATGCATTGGGTGTACCTTTACTCTCGTCTGTACACATTTGAGGAAACCCTTGTGTATGGTGCCAGTCATCATAGTGTCTGGTTCTATGGGCATTCCCAGTGATGAGCGTAATGGCGACCTAAAGGACATGGGCAACAAACTTTGGGTGAAAAATGACCTCTAACATTTGGTGCAACACTTTCTAAAGTACAAAGATGACGTGTCTCTATTGCAGCTACAAGATGCATCAGTCATTGGCGTTTAAACTTTAACAGCAGCATCTAAAACGTATCTTTCTTTACATTCAGCTAAGTATGTGTGTGTGTTGGTGTGTATGCAGGGCAGGTCCAGTTTATACGATACATTTGCACTGAGTAATACCACTGAGCATTTAACATTCAACCAGAGCTTTGCGTCCTTCAAGTGTGGACGGATGTTGCTCTCTCCTCCATCTCCTCTTGATCATGTCTACAAGTCCTCCAGTTTGCTGTTTGACCTCCAGGCTGAGGAACAGAGAACGGGAATGAGGATGGGTTATGGAAAGGCTCAGTCATGTTTTCATTCCTACTACTGTCTCTACTCCTGGGTACTAGAACAGGATCACCTCTTCACCCCGCTTCTCTCAGTCTTTGGTTTCCTGGTTGAGGGGTGGTACCTGCTTTAATGCCTGAAGGAGGGCAGGGGAGTCCATGGGGGTCTGAGATATGGCTGGGGCCGGAGAGCCTCCCCTAGGAGACAACAGTAGCTGAGGTGGAGGCGGTCTTTCGCTGGGCATGGTGGGTGCAGAGCCTCCCATGCCAGGGTAGAGCATGGGCATGGCCCCGGGGTACCAGTATTTCTCCAGCATTGGCAGGTACGCTGCAGCGGAAGGTGGAATGAGGTAGAAAGGCATGCAGAGGGGATGTGGAGGAGTTGGACGGTTGGGGGATACGCTCAAGTAACTGCCGTAGCCGCTAGACGATGACATTGATGATTCTCCTCCTGAGTCCTCCGACGACTCCACCCGGGGGCGTTTGTGGCACGGCTCGTCCTCCTCTTGTTTGATACCGGAGCTCTGCCTCTCGGCGTGTGCTCGCTTCAGATGGCTCTCATGACCGTAGTAATCTGGACGTCCCTGTTGCGCCCCAGATTCAGTCTTCTCCAGCTCGCCACCATAGCCGCTGTCTGTATCCGTATCACTGCCACTCTGCTCACTGCTCGTTGGAGCGTGCGCCCGCTGGATGACGGGCACACAGTTCCTCCCATAGCCTTCTGTGGGTTTAGAGGGTGCGCTGGTGGGCATCTCCTTGTGAGGTTGGTGCTGGCGGTAGACAGGGATTTCTTCAGGTTGAGGGCTGGGAGGAGTGCGGGGTCGGAGCGGACTTTGCAGCACCTCTGCGGCTAACTTGTGAAGGTAATTGATCACATGGGATGGCGTGAAATCTCCATCAGTTTCATGATTGCCTAGATACTGAAGCATCTCCTTGGCACAAATGTGGAAGCCAGAGAGAAACATCTCCTCTGACTTCTCCTGGTTGACAGCAGGCTGATCTGTAAAGACAACATGAAACCACACAGTCAGAAATGCTGCAGTTTGAAATAGACGTCCCTTTTCCAACAACTATAGCTATATTTGATGTCACTTATTTGCCTGTTGTTCTGTACAATCCCTTCATTGTGTATTCATCTTGATAATTTGCTCGCTGTCCAGCAAAACCATCCTGCTGCATGTGCATATTTGTGTGTGTAGCACGTGTGTGTGTGTGTGTGTGTGAGTGATCTGCAGCTCACCAATTTGCATGCCGTTCTGTAGAGCAAGGATCTTCTGCTGCTGCTGCTCCAGAAGAGAGGTGAGGGCTTTCACGTGCTTGAGCGTCAGCTCTAAAACCACAGCCTTCTCCAGATGGCCCAGAGTCTGTGGGAAAGACACACAGTCAGCAAATCCTCACCTCTTATATAAAAACACAGAAACTACGCTGTACTGCTCATGTTCACATCATCAAAACTCTACAACAGCAGCCATAAAGGCAAAAGCAATCAATTAGAAATATTCAATTTGATATGGGATCATATACATTTCATAAATAATAGCAGTCTGGAGTATCAATTTGATTGCAAGTTCTTGTTTCATTGTGTATTGGATTGAATTTTTTAAATCCCCGGTTTAAACAAAGGCACATGACAGAAGACACGTCCTCTTCAGCGTGAGCCGTCATCCACTGACTGCTGACGCACTCAGCACTGAGGATGTAATGCCACTGAACAGCCACTCGATGGCGCATGCCACTCAATACAGTGAATCCCATTTCCCCTCCCAGCCACAGCACGAACTTACCGTGAGTTTCAGGTGCTCTGGTAATAAATCTTTCAACTGTGCGATGCACTCGTTTATCCGGTCACGCCTTTTCTTCTCAATAAGTCTGTGAGGCAGCTTGTAGGTTTCCTGCAAGAATAAACAGCATTGTTGGTTAAATTCAGCTGATCCTAGAGCGCACAGATATAGCTCTTTATGATCAGAGGCAGTCACTCCGACAGGGAGGACTCCAGGAGTTATGTCATAGCAGAAATGCGGTCAACCATTTATGATACTACAGGGCTAATGCTAGCCTAATTCCTTCCTCGTAGTTTACACCCTTTAATTAAAAGATGTGGTTATAACTGAACATGTAAAATAATAACGGACCTTGCTCTCCTCCCCTCTCTTCATTCCTCGCCTGGGTTTATAAACATACATCGGGAAATCCATCCTAAAGAAATACAAAAAGAGAAGAGTTAAGTGTGAGGTAATGCTTTGGTGAAGCTATAGATACGGAATATGAAGTGCGATTGAGGAAAGCATTTTTCAAAGTAAAACTTACCCCTGCAAGTCCGACAGATCAGCCTGGTGTTTGGACAGAGGAGGTGGTTGCGCGCTTGGGATTCGCTCCATTTTTTTCAATCCAATTATACAGTAAATTCGAGGTACTTCTCCAATACAGTTACAAATAAAAATGCATTTATTTACGCGTGATAAAAAATGTTGAGAGGGAAAAACAAGGATTTACTAAAATACACTGAAATGCCAGAAGAAACGGTTTCGATTTGTACTAATTCCGCAGGGCTTCAACAGGCAACTAGTCGCACTGATGTAAACAGTTTAAAGTTAGTGCCTGCAATTTCCACGCCGTGGCCTTGCAGCAGAAGGAAGGTAACCCTCTTGGTGGCGCGTTGGGAAAGTGGGGGGGGGAGGACAGCGCGACGAGTTAAATAAACCCTCTGACTCTCCGCTCCGCCTGACCTACCTCTGTCACATGAGGCTCACGTGTTAAACGGCGCTGTATCCTCGGCGGAGGGACGGCCCACTTTCCACCGATAAGGAGCCTCAGTGGGCTGACGGCGGCAGACGTCAGAGGGGAGGGCGGCGCGTGTCCTATCTCGTGTACCTCCATGCTGAAGTGTATTGAAACAAGGCTGTGAGCGCCACGGCGCAGGGAACGTGCTTGCATCAGGCGTGAGGCACGAGAGTCGAGTGGGTATATGCCCACTGCCAATGACAATATACAATAATACAATTAAAATACTATAGTAGCATATAACTATCCTAATAATATCCTGCAGGATTCGTATAGAGCAGTGATGCAACAAAATGTCATCAAGTGCATTTAAGTCATTTTTAACTGAGGTTTGCATCGAGGTTTGTTTTACACTCACACTTTAAAGTTAGTCTAGATTCCTGCAGAACATAATAATGATAACATAATACACAACATTCAGCAGTGTGTTCTATTGACCGGCAGGCAGGTGGGCTCCGGTATAAACACTGCGGTCACTGTGGGAGAACCACGTGCACCTGAGCGCGGACGAGTGTGTGCTGTGGGTTTGTTGTCATGAGGCGATGCCGACTGTGTCACGTTGGTCTCCTCATGGCCCCGGCACCCTGCTGTGCGCGCAGGGCATATCCAGCTCATCCAGCACACGGCAGCTGCTGCACCTGTCTGCTGCAGGCTACGAGCACAGGTCACACAAAAAGAAAAAGGTGCAAAAAGACAGGACATTTACATTGATATTATCATGATTCCTCTATAAATACCTTTATAGAACATATATTTAATAACTCCGAAGTATCCTGTGTTCAAACTAAAATAAGAGCATAAAGGCCATTGAAAACCACATCTGAGTAACACAGTCATTCCTTTTTCTCTACAATATATTTTGATCGAGAAGAGCACAATAGGGTTCAATCGTCAATAAGACAATTACAGGTGTATTACAGCACAATGACCTATAATAAAAAGGTACAGTTTGTAGATCTCATATGAAAACAGGAAGCATCACAATAATCAATGCGCAAGTCTTTCGTTTTTGACAATCCCATTAAAATCCATAATTTGTTAAAGTCAACGTGGACTAGAATGACAGAAGTTTTGTGAAGCTGTAAACAATTGCATTTATTATAGTTGGAATTATGTGATTCGAGAGAAGATGTAACATTCTTTCTTCTCTCAAGTTTTATTTTATTTTTTGTCCATGTCTCAGGATTTTGTCTGAAAAAATCCAATTCAGCAAAATCCCTGCAGTAACTGAATCATAAATCATGCTTAGGATCACAAAATCTTGCCTCACAAGCCAGATGAGACTCAGGAGCTACACAAACTTCCCTGACACAGGAGAGCTTGGCAGCATTGTGGTTATGTATTTTTTAAAAACAAAAATCTAAAATGTATTTGTAATCAGAAGTAAGCTTGAAGTGCTATTTAGAGCATTTTGGCAAATCACACAAAATTTACTAGAGATAAATATTGTATTTATTGGCTGATTTTTAAGGTTTTCTCACCTCACTAAGAGGAGCTCAATCATTAGGACTATCCATCCATCTTCTCTGACAAAAATTAGCAAGGAAAGCTGCAGCTGTCACAGTCCTTTTCACAACCTCAGATCTATCAGCCTTGACATTTTCATAAACAGATTTTTCATAGTTTCAGAAAAGTAGTATCTTTCACAGCAAGTGTCCCCTTCAACAAACAACCAAAGGTCTGTTAGAAAATTCCTGGAGTGTAATGAATTAAATAAAAATGGGGAAGGCAGTAGGATTCAGTAATTACAATATTACTTTAACACTGGTCACAGTGATGCAGCTTTAATTCAATAACGATGGAAAGCCCCTTGGGCGGTTATCGCAAATGTAACACAATTTAATACTGAATTTGATCTTGATTTAAAATCCTGATTATGGCACATTTGTTTCAGTTCACTTGTAGATCTTGAAATTGTTTTCATAATATTAAGATGTATGCTTATAAAATGTCTAACAAGCTTGAGAGCTGCTAACAATATTGTATTCACTTATGTGATATATACTGACTGCCACTGACAAATGGCAAGCTGTTTGAATGCTAATATTGTCAAAAGTGTTACAGTAGGCTATTAAAAAAATGTAGGCGATGCCATTCTCATTAGGTGCGAAGTGTATGTTTGTTATAATAAAGTGTCAGTCTTTAACAAAGCAGTTTTACAATTTAAAAATTCTACATCTGCTCCATCTGTGCTACGATAAAATCCCAAAAGGTCAAATTAAAACCCAAAATTTGCAACACCTGTATTTGCTCAACATGGAGACATATTTCCTCATGCAACATGGTTATAAGAGAAGTGCACATCCTTATTTGTACAGGACCACAGATAACGGAGTTCATCTGCCGGCAATCCCCAAATTGACTTCCGTTCTCTCTTTCATCCGACTGCACCGCGTTAGAAGCATGACACCACTCAAGCTGTCAACCAATAAGCAGGCAGACAGATAATAAATTGCAAACATCCTCATTACCTTTAGTTGCGCATATGTTCTGGTCTCTTCCTCGACTTCCATGCTGATGCGGGTACCGTTTAACACTCATTAACAGACTATTTTACACACTTGTTTATTTAAATAGACTCCAAGAATGGAATGTACAATTCAGACGCAAACCATCCATTTGTAGAAAAGTTCAGTTTGGTTAAGCAGCACTCCAAATGTTTAATCTAATATTTTTTTCCCCTCACAGACGCTCAAACACTTAGACATTCTCAAGTGGGTCTTCTACAAAGTGCCTTAACAATTATTTGAGTGCTTCAGAAAATATCAGTGTTTTAGGATTAAATGGATGATAGGAAGATTACATAATTCAGTGCAGGATAAATCTAATTGAACTAACGTTCGAACATTTCTCCCAAGTTCAATTAAGTTTGGTTCACATTATGCTTCCAATGTGACTCCATATCACTACTATCATTAAGCACAGCATGGAACCTGCTTCAGAGTGAAGCAGTCACATGATCTGCTCCTTCTCCACAGTAGCTCCATATGGTTTGTTATTGAAAGGTTACTTTCTAGTAGTATTTTCCTTAACAAATATCAAAGTCCCCTCAAAAACCTTTTTAAACTAAAGTGTTCTGAACCGCACAGAACCTTCATTTGTGATTGCAAAAAATGTGAAAGTGATAATTAATGGGAAAAAAAACCAGTATAGATTTTATAACAGCATAAAGAGACTTTAAAAGTAAGGTGACCTCTTCTGGATTCTTTACAGGTGTTGTTTATCTCCATATTTCTAATATAAAATCAAATACCAGTTCCCAAAAATAGTTCATTCTTATTTAGACATTGCATATTATTAAGTATTCCTATTGCTGTCAGACAAAAGCAAAATGTGTTGTAGAGGTCATACAAACCTTCAAATACACATGTGACCTGAGTTTGCTGGAGCAACACTGAGGATCAAAACCGCAATAAAAGGCCACTTGAAAGCAATATCCCCTCAGGAACAACTTTGGTATGCTGTCAGTGTGGTGCAATGCAGAAGGCATTCAGGGTAGTAAAGCTGAAGTCAGTGTTTTCATCTCCTAAACCCACAGGACTGGCTTGTCAGGTCCCGAGGCACTTGGTGCACACTCTCCCCCCACACAGACACATCCACTCTACAGGCCACCAGTAACGTACTCCGATAACTTCCACTTCACACAGACACTCAGAAGCACGCATGTTGTAGAAACACTTATTGTAGGAGTTTCTGGTGAAGTATACAGTCAGACATCGACCTAAATACATACTGGAGACGGACACGATTTGGCATTCTGCTGTATAACATGTGGCGCACTGACAGAAGTGCTAAGGCACTGGTGATACTGTCCCCAAGGGCCCTCAGGCAGGCTGCTGGGGATTGATGTTCATGTGAGGGGGATGACCAAGAAGACCAATTCGTTGCTTCTGCTTCCTCTGCTCTGTCATCTGCAAGTGGGAAAAGAAAGTAGTTTTTGCAACCTTAAAAACAAAGCAGGATTTAAACAAATACACAAAAAACCTAAGTGTAAGAGTTAAAAGTTGTCAATTAGTGAGCTTTAGGGGTGCTGGTAGATGTGTTTTGTTACCTTTGGACAGAGCTAGGCTAGCCTTTTCTCCTTAGTTCCAGTCTTTATGCTAAGCTAAGCTAACTGACCGCTGGCAGTAGCTTCCTATTTACTGTACGAACACAAGAGTGGTATCGATCTGCTCAGCTAACACTCGGCAAGAAAACAATTAAGTGTATTTCTTTGAGGTGTAAAACTATTCCTTCAAGACTCACAGGCAATAGTGTGTTCCTTAGCAATAAAATATTTTTTAAAGTGTTTTTAACATTTTCAAAGGACAGCTGTCATCGCATACTGTGACGCATGGTGCATTTTTAACCTGTGCATGAACAAACCCATTCCAAGGAAGAGATGAGCAGAAAATACTGAAGTAAACTACTTTATTGTTAGCTTAGGCTGTCCGAGTCACCAGTTCCATAATGGTGATTGTACAACAGTAAGCAACCAATCCCCAATAACTCTTCCCATGTTATTGTTCATTATAATGTGGTGGTCCTGAGTAATTACAGAACCAAGGTGCAGGTTGTCGATAACCTCCCAATGGCTGAACAAAACAGTCTCAGAAGAGCCAATCCGGTTCAAACGGAGGGAAAATAAAAATAAATCATGTGTGATGTACAGTACTACAAACTGAGGGTGTGCATGGTTTACTGTCACATGATCTACCTGTTCCTTGAGCTCAGTCAGCTGTCCAGACAGGTTGGTAACCAGCCTCATGGTCGACTCAAGCTTCTCCTGCAGGTTCCTGATTTCATTTTGCTCCCCCTCGGCATCGCTGCTCACCAGTGACATGGCGCGCATCCGTGGGAACCAGTCCAGGTTGTGCTCCTGTGGTCAACCAAGCATATTAGCCACTGGCTTTTGTACATTTACGAGGAGTTAATAAAGCTAAATTATGTCAAAAAAGAATAGGTAATTCTAACAGGTAGGTGCTACCGTTTGACAACCGAGTGCTTACATCTGAACTCCAAATGATGCTGTGCTATGGTCTGTTTTTTTGAAGAATCATGCTTGCATTGGTATCATTGTCACAGGAGTAACAGTAAAAGACCTCAGACTGAGCTTATGTAGTACAACGGAAATCCCAGTGAACTGACCAACGATTCCTTTTCATGCTTTGGTCAGTTTAAGGGTTAGACTGCAACTAATGTACCGTCTCGTACTGTATTCCTGTTTGTCTGCAGCAGTCTGTTTATGTCATTTAATGTCTATGACCAGCGTATCTGTCAGTTGAGATTAGATAAGAGGAACACATTACTGTATTATGGTGTGTGAAACGTGCCTGTACGTGTTTACAAGTCTGACTCTGTAGCATAACCTGATGAAGTCTACTTGATCAAAGTTACTCTGCTAAAAACGTGACGCCGATCTTACTGCTCTTTCATTCAGGATTGCTACTCCAAGACAGCATGCTCTAATGATAATTGTATTATCCCATTTCAGGGAAAAAAGTAAGTCTGCACTGAGAAGGAGGATCCGGATGTGTGTTTTCAGGGTGTCTGTGCTCTTTATTTACCTTGATCATCTCAGCTACGTAGCTCTCGGGGCCTGTGTATTCAGTGGAGTCCTTAACTTTTACCAGCACAATGAAGAACAGGTAGTGCCACATGTTGTGCTCCTCTTTGAAGTGTTCCTCAAAGGTCACTGTCTTGTTGTCAAACTTGTCCCGCTCCAGGCCTAGAGAGGGGCAATAACACAGATTATTTATGGTATGAAGTTACAGCATTTTTAAGAACAAACAGGAGCTAGCCTCTATTACACTAGTATGTTTCGCAGTGACATTGGGGAAGGGAACATTCCAGTTTATGTGCTAGAATAATCCCCTCTGCCAATCAGTCAAGTTGCAGTTTGCATCCAAAATGTCACCACTTCTTTCCCGTTTTCTATACAAGATGGAGAGTGAGGTTGAGCCTGATTACCTGAACAGAAGTTATTTTAGCTACAGGTAAAAAACACACCTGCACAGGAAGTTAATGATGTAAACCAACTGTTGGCTACAGACCTGAAGACCTAAAAACCAATGCAAGATTGAAAGAAAGATCGATGGCTTATAAAACAGAGCTGGAGGATGGAGAGCCACTTAAGCCTGCGGAGGTCGGCTGCTAATCTCTGCATCTCCTGTTCCCTTGTGGTTCTTGTGGAAACCATAGAGACGGCAGCTCCCCCTGGGCCCTGGCCTTCTTTAAAATGAGTGAGTCAGAGCTGATGGTTGGCTGGGTGACGAACTGTTCTCATTCCATATGCTTACCACTTGTCCTGAGTGCGCGACCCAACTTACGCACGCATACGCTTGCTCACCTACAGCATGTACTTTTTTTTTTGGCACTCACGCATATAATGGACATATAAGGAAATGCAGATGCCGCTACAGAAAGGGTCAGAGAATGGGTAATCAGTGAAGTTGCACAACACAGATGGCGTGAAAATTAAGTTTGTGCTTGTGAGTGAGAGGGAGACAATGTCTGGGCGTGTGAGACAGACATGAATTATGGAGGCGAGCAGAGCAGTGGCAGGAAGCTCTCATGACTCAGCCTTCTTTGGAACTACAGCTAAGTGAAAAAGAGGGAGAGGGAGGGGGGGGGGGCTGCAACAAACTACATGCACAGAGATACCAGAAACCACAGACACACCATGAAATCAAACACGCTGAAAGGGGATTTTGGGACTTTACCGAGTGATATGAGCTGGATTGTGGAAGAGAGTACTAATGACGCACATTCTTTGAAACACAGAGCACATCCAACAACAGAGCACAGCTCCACCGGGCTGGCAGGGTGCCCTGATGATTAGAGAAGTAATTCTGGCACTGGAAAGTTAAGAGGTTTGATTGCAATGACAATATCATTATGAAAATATTCTAGCACAAGTGGCAGCAGAGAGAGCTGTGCCACATACGATAAAAGTGGGAGTGACACATTAGCAGTAGATATTTGAATGTCTGAGGCACCATGCAATGTATTGCTTATTGTGTCACCATGTAGCAACTGAAAAAGGACATTAGGGAACCAACAACTGCTCTCTAAACAGATGAAGAGCAGTCTCACCGCAGATGAAGCAAGTAGTCTTCAGGACTTCTTCTTTCTTCTGTTTTTCACTCCTCAGGTCAGCAAAGGTGTCGATGATTACGCCAAAGATGAGGTTGAGGACGATGATGATGACCATGAAGAAGAACAGCAGGTCGTATATCACTCTAGCTGCAAACAGTGGCTCCTGCGAACGGAACAGAAACACAGCAATAACAGGAAGTGTTCAGAGGTAGTGACTAGAAAATTACATAGTAATTATTAACTTTATTTTGACAACAGAGAACAATTAAAAGTCAAATTAAGATGAGATTTGACTGTATTGTGGAGGGCTAATGTAGAAAGATTGTCCTATTTAAATGTATGACCCAAAGGGCAGGTCTTCACATCAACATATGTGTAGGATGTTATGAGTTTAACCTTCGTCATCATGGATGTTAATGGAAACACAAGACCACAGGTGAAACCTGCCAGATGCTACAGTAACAGAGCCGGCAGAAAGCCGGTCAACCTAATGCAGCCTGTTTCTGTCTAGATAGGACACAGACAAATGTTTATTTTACATCATCAGCCAACCGAGCCACAATGGACTTCAACGTCTACATACTGTGCTGTAAGTACATTGGTGAATCTCACTCACTCATTTTCCATTTTTGTTAATCCTTTAAAAAGCAATCATCACCAGCCGAATGCACTGCCACTCAAACATATGTAAGACACGCTTGCTTTGAAGCAACAATGTACTGAGCCACTCTTCCATCCATTGTGATTTTGTGGGTTGAATATGTGACTTTTTGGCCCGAGCTGCATTGTGTTGTGAATATGTGAGGCGGATAGTCACATCCTCTTTTGACATTAGTGGTTGACCCTGAATTCGGTGGAAATCTATCTTGAGGTTTAACTCTGACACAAGGCGGAGGTAGTACAGCTGCAGGGAAACATTGTGAAACAAATTCAGCACATGGTGGGCTTGCAGCCAGCTCACATGGCCCTCGCTGCAGCAGTGGGTGACACGCACACACGCACACAGTTTTGTAAGGGTCCTATCTTCAGAGTTGCACATACCTCTTTGGAAGGCTTGCGGAGTACATCCCCTACACCTCCTCCACTCCTCAAGCCATGACTCAGCACAGTAACGATACACATAAGTAGAGAGTCGCACGTCCGCTCCATGTTGCTCTCCTCCTCACCGCCATTCCCCAAATCTGAAGAAGCAGAGAGGAAAGCTTGAATCTAATCATTTCAGAGGCTGTAAAAAGTGACTTCTTTTTAAGGTGTATATCAATTTACAGACTCACAAACAACCCTGCAGCACCAGAGAATGCCGTTTACACTCTAATGCTTTATGAACTGGTATACCAAGGTAATTAGGACCACCAGGACCGATACTTTTAGGTTAATATAACATCAAAAGCATCAAACTCTAGCTCATAATACGTATTGAACTAACTCATGTGACCCAAAGACATTATGCAGGGAAATTTACATTTAAAATAAAATGAAGTACCACTTCAGAAGCGCATCATATTTCTTAAGGAAATGTAAAATCAAAAGTAAGGCATGATACAATGCACTGCAATATATTGAATTCATTTCCATCATAATCGTCATCATCATATAGGTAGTATGGGTGTAACACTAAAGTCACTTTTATTCAGAAATTATGATGGTTTGCGTATAAGACAGTGGGACACACTTTACTATATTTTATTTTCCATTAAAATATCATAAACCATATTCTGCCATACTCATGATGAATTGAGTACATTATGGTATTTGATGAGATTGTAATGTTCATACACAGTATAGACTCAAACAAGTTATGATAAACAATCTAAGTAGAGTATTAACTTGTTTTGAAATACTCTCTGAATATAAATAAATATCAGACACCTGTTTTAGAGTAGGATTTGATAGCCATGTAGTCACAGTGTAAATAGGGTATCATCTGCTATTTAAATATCCTTGGCGTAGTTGCAGAACTTAATATCTGTTGGAACCTTGTTTACGTGTTGTGGTTCACAGTGTGATGGCAGAGAGTCAAAGCAGAAGTGTTTTTGTTTCGCTGGAATGTGACAACAGCTTTGGTTGAACTTGTGAGCCAGACAGAAAAACAAAGATGAACATTTCTGAAAGATTTATCCAATTTGATAAAGTGTATAGTTAATTGACGAATGACCTCTGACCCAGTCAAATGGTGATCCGCCTGCTAACTGTGTGTATCACTGGCCAAATCATTTTATAGTTTTTATGTCTTCTAAACTTCAGTTTTTACTGAAATGTGGTCACATGCTGATGTCATATGAGGGCCAGTGAGGTCACATGAGAATGGTTTGGCAGTTATGTGACAGTCAATGGAGTCATGTGAATGAAATTGTGAATTGGTGTGAAGCTGCAGAACAGAACGAAACTGCAAAAACATCAAACAATTTTCCTTTCACTTGTCTTTCGCTTGAAGAGGCTAAGGATGATTTCCAAATATTTCAGCTCTACAATAAATTATTTCCAGTTCTCCACTTCTCTTTGACATCACCATGAACAATTCCTACATGGGACCACTTCAACTTTCCAAATATGGAGACTAGTCTAGAAACTTTGACCCCAGACTTTTCTAACCCTGCAATGAAAATTCACCACATTATAAACTGAGTTTGCTGTTATCACTTAGGTTTAGGATTGATGACAAGTACATCACAGAAGAACAAAGAGCATTCAAATAAGATTTTTGGACCGATTTGCTTTTAATGATTGAAATATTTAGGTAACACCCAGTGTTGCGGTTTACATTACCTTCCTGCAGGGCCTCTGTGGTGCAATTCTCACCAATCCCTCCCGGACACATTCCTGCAGGCAGAAACTCACTGGCCAGACTGGCTCCATTTTCTAGAGAGTAAGAACGGTATGTTGCAAACGTTTTCTTGTCTTTTCAAAATGAAAACCTACATTCTGTGATCTTTAAAGCCGTTTGTCAAAAATGATTGAAAGACAGGAGTCTGCCCTCACTCAGAGTTGTGTTGGGGATACGATCCACCTCCAGGATGAAGTCGTCTTTGAAGAAAATGTAGCCAACGATGGAGAACAGGTAGACCAAGATAAGAGCCAGCACAGCGGTGAGCACGATCGAGCGTCCATTACGAGTAACACTCTTGATTACATTCAGCAAGGTCTCTTCTCTGTATACCAGGTCAAACAGCTACAGAGGCAACACACACGTTATGAAACAAAAAGGATAAATATCTAAAAATAGATTCATGTGAAGTGACTTATGTAGTGCATTCATTTAGGTTACATAATACCATCATCTACATACAGGGAGGCCAGTGTTTGACACAAGGTGAATGTGAGGTTACACAAGAAAGTACAAGCGGCAAGAAACAAATAGGTTTGGTGGATTCAATTTGCGGGGTTTTTTCTATTACGCTGAATCCTCAGTTTTCTCTGTCTGACATGAATTACACGATTTTTCAGCGTCTTGTTATTAAAAAAATGTGGAAATATGTTGCACTGCATCTGCAGAGGAGCTGCTTGGGCCTGTGTGAATGGAACACGTTATAAAGCAGACCTGAGGCAGTTAACACCTCCACAACAAGAAAAAGACAGAAACACCATTGAAGCACAATATAAGGCATCTTCTGGCAAGTAGGATATGTCCGTGAATGCACCAAAATGGAAACATTCAGAGAGACAAGTAATATTTTACTCATGGTTTTAATTCAAACCTGCTGCCCTTTAGAGTAGGTTTGTGTGATTGTTTTTTTGCAAAGCATCTGTTCTTAGTATGCGTATTCACAGGGTGTGTGCGTGTGTTTCTCTCACCAGCAGACTGTAGAAGAAGACATGGACAAACACCCCCAGAGAGCAGATGATGAGGTAGAGGAGGTGGTAGAGGAACTCAAAGTCAAACACCATGGCTCTGTAACCCCGTGTGAAGGTTCCTCGGTTCCCCACGAAACTTATCAGGAAGATGATTTTATTGCACACCTGGAAGATTAAGTCAACATCTCTTTAGTAATAACAATAATGGACAATCGACTGTTAAGAATTTAAATATTGGAAAGTCGTGGCCTTGGCTCAGGGACAAATACACAAAATGCTGCACATGGTGGGTGTGGCTTTTCAAGGTAAATGAGGACACATATAGTATGTTTACATGCACATAAGTAACCTGGTTATTGTTTGCTTTCTGTGGTAACTTGGTTTCTTAAAAGGTAATTTAAACCAAACACGAGGGAAAGGGATTAACAAAAACCCAGTTAACATGGCCTCTTTGGATAAACCGGAATTCCTGGTCATGTATACACTTAAGCGAGTTTGTGAATGCATATACGTGATCCATTTTAATAATGAAATCTTAAGTCTGACTAAAAATATAACTGAAACTATTGGCAGTTATTTTAAAAATCCACACAGCTGCAAAGAAAAAGAAAAGAAAACACATGGTTCAAAAATGTCAAACACAATCAGGGAGACATCCGACTCCTGACCAGCTGCATGTAAACTAGATTTTAAAGCAACCAGGTTACTGCAGTCCATGGTAACGTGTTCTCTGATTTCCTGCATTAACTTGATCTCTCTCAATAACCCGGTTTCTTTTGTACAGCTAAACGTAGCGATTGAGGAGAGAGATAATCGAGGCGTGTGCAAGACTTTACTTTGTGCGTGTGTGTTTGTGTTAGTGTTTAAGAGCACATCTAGAAAATCTCTAGTGGGTGCAGGGGTGGTGTCGCTCTCTCTTGGGTTCAGTGACGCACTTCACACCCCGTAGTGCAGCCAGGCGCTGCCAAGGAGAAGTGTGAGGCCAGCAACACCACCAGCAGCCGGTGCCCCGGCCTGCCAAGTGGGCATGGAGTGTGAGTGAGAGTTGAAAGAAGAACTGGAACTAGTGCGGTGGAGGTTTCTCAGCACGTGAAACTACATACCCAGTGCGTGTGAATAAGGAAATAGAAATGGTCTTCAACATTTCTCTGGGGAACATTACAAACCACACAGACACACCCTTTCACACAAGAGGAGAACATTTAAAGGGTTAGTTCACTCAAAATAAAAACATGTTACTCGCCTTTAGCAGCCATGCAGATAGTTTTGACTAAATTTGTCCAGATTTTTAGATATTCTGAGATGTCTGCTCCTACTCCAATACAATGGAGGGGAATGAATTTCATCAGAGGTGCTCACACACGGTCAGTTCTCATAGGGACTAGGCTCGTCTGTCCACACTAGTTCCAACAAAGTCTTTGGAATATCCAGGGACACTGTTAATTTATTCAATTTCATTTTTTAATTCTTTGAGCATTTCAAAAACAAATTCTAGTCCCGCAAATTAGAATTGGCATCATTGTGGATTTTCTCAATTAATTTTGAGTGCATGAAATGTCGAAAAATAGGAAGAACAAGCTAACACACAGAGTCCAAGGTGGCACCTTTCATTTGCAATAATGATATGACAAAAAAGAAAAGCACAAAATCCTCACATTTCAGAAGCTGGAAACAAAGAACATTCGCCATGATGATTGAAAAATTTAACTATTAATCGATTATGAAAATAGTTGCTGGTTCATTTTCTTTGGCTCAGTTAATGAACTAATTGTTTCAGCTCTGCAAAATTCCATTTCATTCCCTTGAATTTGAGTGGCAACACAAATTTCAGAGACGGATATCTCACCAGCCCGGGAAATTAAACCACAACTAACTGCGTGACTGGTAATTTGGGTGAACTGACCATTTAAAGCAGACTACTCACATTGAAGGCACCCAGAAGGAAGAGGGTGGGCTCCAGGCCAACAGAGAAGATGAGGCGGAGGATGGTGATAATGACGAAGGCACGAATGCTCAGCGGTTGGGGCATGATGATAACAATGGCCAGTGTTGCCAAGACTCCCATCCACAGCAGGGCAGAAAGGTGGGGATCCAGCATCCCTGCAGAAGATAAATGCAGGTATTAATGCACATGCAAGGACACTTGCTACAATTGCTGTATTTGACAAGCCTGTAACATAGTGAATTGATCGTACATGGCATATTAATGAATCATGTTGCGAGGATTACACCCCAGCTTAAAAGAGGCCTTGTCCGTATTTGAACTGTTCCGTCTCTCAGGCAGGCCTCGGGCCTTCATTAGTGAGACGTTTAACTCAAAGAGAGTCATAACACCCAAAAGTATATGACATACTTTTTTTTTGTGTGTGCTTTAAGCTTTGGTGAGAGCCTACCTTATGCTTCCCTTGATCCCAAGGTAAATCCAGGATTAGTGTCCGAGACATGGGTTTCATGGGGCAATAAATCACTCAGGCTAAAACCCCGGATCAGGTTTGATCAGCCTGAAAACAAGGCCACACCCAACCTTCTGCCTCTGTTACTGACCCCCTTTCTTAAAGCACAGGGCTAACATGTGTGCAAGTGTCCATGTTAGTAAGCACTCTATGAGCGCTGGTCATTGAGTGCTCAGAGAACATAGAAAAGAAAAATAAATGAATGTGTTGATAATAGAAAGGTAGAAAAAGATCTAGAGAAAATGGTGAAAGACAAAGAAAAAGGAAAATGGGGCAGAACTGCAAGGATTGAGAAAAACAGTGCGAGGGAGTTGTAGTGAATGAGAAGGCAGAGGGGGAGTACTGCGGGTAAGGGAGCCCTCCTTCCCTCCCCTACTTCCTTGACTATCTCTCCCTCTCTCTCCTTCCCTTCCTCCGGATTTCTCTCCCGCCCAATCCCTGCGGAGATCACATGACAGGTGCCACTTACATAACAGCCATCTCTAAAAATATCTCAGCTGAAAGATTCATGAGGAACGGGCCGGGGGCAACACACAGCTCCAGTGATGTGGCAGACTGACAAAGTGGTGCATACGTGCACTCACAAACTGTCTCGCTACCTTTCACTTGCGGTTTTATATGCAGACGGATAATTGTGCACAACTGTCTGTAAAATCAACAGTTGAGAAGGCTGCAAGCATGCACTGTCAGTGTGTGAGCATGTGTTGAGTTGATTTGCTGCTAACCAAAGCTATTTGTCAAAAGACGAAACACACTGACCTAGATCCCCTGCTCTGATAACCCTCATTCTAAAGCCCCAAGCAAAGGAGGGAGGAAAGGGGTCTGTCTGTCTGTCTGTCTGTCTGTCTGTCTGTCTGTCTGTCTGTCTGTCTGTGAGAGAGTAAGAGAGAGAGAAGGTAGGGGCCCAAAGCCATAAAGTGCCCGTTAAAGCTGGCCAAAGGTATGCTGGAGTCTCACGTGATGTCTTGCACACAAAAACAGTTCCAGTGAAGAGAAATACAGTCAGACCTTACTCATGTTGTGCACAACTTAAACTTATGATTGTATTAAATATTGAATGATTTAATTATGCAACTGCTGTACACAACACTAACCAAACAACAATTAACTTTTTTTTTTTGTACTTCATTACAAAATTAATAAAATACTGCATTTTGTGTTACCTAGCATAGCTCACAATTTCAACAGATAAGGTGACAAGAAGTAAAGAAGAAGAAGCTTTTTTTGAGGGTTTCAAACGACAGTGACATTGGTATTGTATTCACCTTGTAAGTCTGTGTGTGAGTCATCATGTCAAAATGTGTCCTGGAGACACCTACTGTAGCAGGAACCACAGAGGCGGTCTATACACACTACTGGTGTGTAGTTGAGATCAAAATTCTCACATTTGCATTCTTATTGTCATATTCTTTGTTCATCTTTTAAATAAATGTAAAGGAGTATGGTAATTTACATGAGCAAACTTTGTCATTTTGATTACAACACACTCTTTACATGAATCTATGTAGCATGGAGCCGTTTCAGATCAAAAACTGAACCCACTGATGGAGTTGAGAAACATCGGCGAGGAGGATTTTGCAGCTGAATAGCTTGCCTCGTTTGACGAATGAAACATGATGCAAGACTTTTCTAGATCACCTGATAATGTTGTGTAAGATTTTGTTCCTGAGCCGAAGTAAGCTTTGTTGATGGGACTTTAAATGACACAGGGCGCTCCTCTGTTTGTTGTGGTCTTCATAGTACTGAAAGTCAAATATGAGCTTAGGCTTTGAGACCACGGGTTGAGTTGAGGATTGTGTGGGTGTGTCCTAAACAAAGGTAGAGGGCTTAGTTCCTGCTCCTAATCCTGGTCAGGTGATTAGAAGTCAGCAGATCAGAATATTGTGGTAAAAGGAGATCAGTGGGTCGATGCTGAGGCTGGACTGAGAGTCGGCTCTTTAAAGTCTATTTCTGTGGGTGGCTATGACATTTTACATGCCTTTCCAGATAGTTTCTTACAACAGAGCGTGATGTAAATGTAAAAGAAAAAGTTGAAAATCCCAATTACAGAACTGGATATAAGCTAAAACAAGCATTTTTGCTTCTTCCTAATCTCTAGGCCTTATTACTGGCTGCAGAAACTAGTGCCACAATTTCAATACAGCCCATCATTGTAGGAGATCCCTCTATCTGTTCTTTTCAAAAAGCCATGTCAGTGCAGGCTGTGACATGTAATAGGCTGTTTGTAGCAGAAAGGAAAACATGTCAGAAAGCCACTTTGTTCCTGTTTTGCATATTTGAAGTCATGTCCTTTGTTTACCATGGTTTTAAAAATAGTCTGTATGCAACCTACAGTGCATTACATACGCATGTGCCGCTCAGATGCCGCATCAATACAAAATCAACATGCATGAGCAAATTCACGACAGGAAGAGTAAATGTTTTATATGCACAAACGAGGACCAGGACTAAGCTGACTACTTCACAGGAAAAAGCATACAAATGATTCAAAATGATTGAGCCACTGGAAAGGTGAAGTGAGAACACGATTGTTCGTGACGGGATGTAAGCTTGGTTAGAGCTCCGTTTTAAAAAGCCTGTTCTCACGCTCACGTGTATTCTCATATGCAACTGACCTGCATGTACACCCTCCAGGGGGTAGAAGAAGCAGACCAGCAGGTTCATCAGCACAGCCAGGTTGAAGGAGATGTTACTCCACACCGACATGTTTCTTGAGCACCAGTACAGCACCGGTTGGGCTGGGGGGGGGGGGTACAGTGAGACATTTTGTTTCAAATTTGATCACGCACAATATGATTTAGATAGGTTGTCTACAAATGTTGTTTTATGTTTGTAAATTCTAAGATCGCAAAGTCATCAGATTGTCCAACCAACAGTTCAAAAGTCAAAGATGATCAATTAAAATGATACAAAACACAGAAAGGTGGCAAATTCTCACATTCAGCAAACTAGGACCAATATTTGATGATAATGATGAAAAAGTAATGAATTAAACCATAACTCAATGATCAAAAATGTTTAACAAATCTTCTGTTGAATAACTGTTAAGTCAACTAATTGTTTCAGCACTAAATAGATTATTACATACCCAAGTTGTTGATAGTAACAACTTGTGAGAGTTGAGCTCAACTGGCTCAGTTCTCCCTCCTCATTACATAAAGTAATATGAGGACATAAATCACAGAAAACATAGACAAAACAAACCAGTCAACATTGTTATTGTTTGTTGAAATGTTGATAGTGAAAAGTAAATTTAAAAAAGGTCAAAATGAAGGAAAAGGATCCTAAAACACGCCACTTTGACCTTTCACACACACAATCTGACTTCTAGTAGAATATTTTCTGGAAGTGGAAAAGAGAAACAGAATCAGGGACTTTTCTCTGTTCATTGCCTCTTCTGAGTGAGAGACAGAATATGGCTTTGTGTGGGTATGCAGTCTTGTATGTGGATTAGAAATGTGACCGAGTGTGGGTGCCGGTGAGCAAGCATGCTCTCAGTTGCGATTCATAAGGTTAATGTACAGATGTTTCACAACTCAAACAATGTGGAAAACCCCTGTCTGCTTTTAGACAGTGGAAACATGCACACACATAGCACTAGTACACACACCGGGTGACATTGTTAGCCCTGCTGTAGAGTTGGGGATACGCTTCCATTTTCCATATCCGCTTAGAGGTCTATCCGCGCATGCATTGGGCAAGAGGCGGGTTACACCGTGGGCATGTCGCCAGTCTGTCAGTGGGACACGTACTCACACAACCACCTTCACGCCCACAGTTAATTTGGAGTTTCACGATTCACCTGCATGTCTTTGGACTGAGGGGGGAAACATGCAAACTCCACATAGAAAGGACCGTCTGACTGATGGTAATCATTGAGCCACTATGTCGCAACCACGTTGGGAATCTTCATCACATTAATGAAGAATCAAGTTAATTAATCAAGAGTATTGTCAATGGCATCTCTGGTCTGAAGCATTATGTAAACTGTTAAGACAATTAGACGATGGGGCCAATAAACAAAAATGAATCAGCAACAGTTTTGGTAATTGTTTGACTAATTTATCAAGCAAAATGCAATTGATTCCACCTTCTCAAATGTGAGGATTTGCTGGTTTTGACCGTTTTTTTAATTTATATTTATATATTCAATATAAAGATATTGAATAGCTTTACCAGTTTAGTTAATCAAACTAAACAAGAAATCATGTCATGCTGGGTTGAGTTTTGTATGCGATCACTATTTTCTGATTTAAAATAAAAAACAATTAATCTGTTATTGACACTAATAATAATGAACATAGTGAATTTAATTAAGATTATCCAAAATCTCATTGGGGAGCTTTGAAGCGTATTTGCACTTCTCACCAAATCCTGTGCTTCAATTAATTGTCTAGCACCTATAGAAGAGTTTATTCAGCCAAATTCAGGTGAATGATGAAACCCTGTGAATAAACATTTACTTGTACAAAGGTCGTCCTGTATCCTTTGACATAATTGACCACTACATGCACCAGACATGCTCCAACTTGACCCCACCTCTGAGCTTCTTCTGCCAGTTCATCTCATCAAAGAGTTCCTCTGCTCGCAGGAAGAAGTCGTTGATCTTGCTGCCCTGCTCGTCTCTCTCCGTGGTGAAGTAGACTCGCAGCTTTGACTCGGTGGTCAGGAACTCACAGATGTTGGGCACGGGGAACACTATCTCCTCCATGGTGCGGTCCTGGCGCACAATCTGAATAGAGACACACCGTCACCTTGGCATCTATAGGTCAACATTGTTGTATACTTGCAAGGAAATTGTCACAAAATATTGTAAAATGTGTGAAATTCGACTACAGACTAATGACAAGGACTGCATGTTGTGACCTCTATCTGAGCAGTGTGTTTGGCGTAGAACTCCAAGGCCTCATCTCCCTCTCCACTGGCCCCTCCTGGCTTTAACATCATAGACAGCTCCTTATTGTGACGTGCCAACTATTCGGAGGAACAAATCCAAGAAGTGAGCGTGCCACTCAAAAACAACAACACATGTATAATGTGTGTGTCTCATCATATTCCTTTATGAATTGAGTAATTGATTGATGAGAGAAAAAGCAGACCTGGTGAGCTAAAATGTAGATGTTGTGTCCAACATTTCGGGGGGAAGCAGCATCGTGTTCTTCCTCTTCCCCGTTATCATCCTCCTCCTTTGTGTCCTCAAATTCTTCCTCCCCCTGTAGATAGGCTTTCATTATCACTTCCACCTGGACGGGGACACACACACGCACACACACACACAAATCCATGATCTGTGATACTGAGTAGCTAAGGCAATAGCTCAGTTGTATTTGAGATGTGAAAAGGACACGACGCACAACATCATCTCCTCACCAGCTCTTTGGGCCTCATGTTGTACAGGATCCTCTCCGAGTTCTCACTGTCGTGACGGCTCTCCATGATTGCAAGCAGCAACTTGGATGCATTGTTCTAAGAGTGACAAAAGAGACAGAGCAGGCAGAGGAAAGAAAAGCTCCAATATAAGAACTTAAACTCTGTCAGTTTCTACATCCAAGGAAAACAGACAGAAACCAGGGTGCTCTAGAAAAAAATCACTCTGCAGTTGTTTGTCCTGGCAGGCAAGCCCAAAAGTGAGTTTAACTCTGACAAATGAATGCTCAGCTCTTATACTGTTAGTGATATTCCATCCTGCTGTGAAAGGAAAGTACTGCACAGTTTTATTTTCTAATTTCCGGCCCGAGACCCGAAACCCACATCAAAAGGTATAGATTCTTCCTATGAAGCCTTCCTCACCTTGAGCTCCAACACCAGGTCCATCCGCTTCTTCCCAAGTGGGTTGATGTCATTGAGGATCAGGGCGATTATGATATCAATTCCATTGGACTCGTGTGTGGCAATGCAATTCTGAATGACATTTAAAAAATACAATTATGAAAGAGACGGAAAGTGCCCACGTACAGTCACAGAGCTCCCCTCTGGCATAGTCTCTTTCAGTACCTGGTTTTCATGGCAGGGGCCTTGGCAGTACTCCGTTAGACTCTCCAGAGTTTGGTTGATGAGGGCTACGTTCTTCTCGTTGATGTACAGTCCCAGTAGGCCGAGACCCCCTGTGGTGCTGCCGCAGATACAGTCCAAGAACTGAAGAGTCTCACACACAAGGTTGTAGTTGTTCTTGTTGTTTTGACAGCGAAGAAAGTTCTGAGGAGAAAAAAGTGGTTGGGTTTGTGTGACTGGGACTGACAGAACTGGATGCAAACCACAAATAAACCAATCAAAACCAATCAGTGAAACCAAACAGTAAATTGTTTAGCTACAAATTAACATTCTGTCATTTACAAATCACTCCTCTGTTAGTCAGAACTCAGAAATATGGATGCTAACTCGCTCTCTTTGGTGTTCCACTGTGTTAGCCTTCATCTGAACTGTTGAACTTGACTGTTCCATCAGAAACGTGCCAACAGTCACTGGGCAGGGATTTTTGCAGGATAGTGTGCTGTAAATCTTTCCAGAAGGGTTTCTTCACCGACAGGAACCTAACTTCTTACATTCTAATAAAAGCAATCTTAGTGCTGAAAAAGTCAGAGATAACCAGGAACAATTTTTAGACCCACAAAATACAAAAGAGGCCAACAGGATATGTCCTCATAAAAACTAAAGTACAGAGTGTTACACAGGAAAAAGCAGCTTTTTTTTTAATTTTAAAGGTGTGCCAGAGAAGCCTTCTCCATAGCCTAAAGAAGTCAGGTCTAGCCTCTCATACAAATCTCAATGGTGATTAAGGGATTTAGCATCGGTAATAAAACCACGAGACCAGTGTTTTAAACCTGCGGCGAAGACACAAAAGAATGCAAGGATAAGATGTCAAAAACATGGTTTAGAGTAAGAAAGGAACTGTAGTCAAGCGTGATCCCAAAAAAAAAAAATCAGTCTGTCCCACCTGTAGGTCCCGGTTGTGATTCTCACAAAGCAGCTGGAGGAAGCGAAGGATGGGCTGCATGATAACAATTACAAAACTCATTTCGCCCTCGTCCTGGTTCTTGTCCCCAGTGCTGGGGTGGCCGTCGGCTGAGTTGAAGTGGTCCTCAGGGTCTGCTTCACGCCGGTATGAGTTAAAGGCCTTCTTGGTAGCAGTCGAGGCCTCTAATAGCTGCTCTCTCACATCCTCTGTCATGACCACCGCTGAGTCTCTAGCTAAACAGAGACAGGCACCAAACAGGGAATATGAAATCAGTCGAAACCCACAAAAATCCTCTTTCTACTCTGGATTTGCAAACAAAGTTGAATCATCTAGGATATATATGTAGCTCGTCTTAGCATCCTTTGTTGGCAACAACCTGACGTAAATTCATACTTCAGATCATAGTATGTGACCTCTGACCTTTTTTGCGCACAGGGACGTCTTTGTCCTGGCTGTCATCATCTCTCTTTCTGTTTCCCAGGTCGCTGGTATTTACCGTCACCGTGGCTTTGATCTCCAGCTGGGCCAGCTTCATACGGTCGTAGAAAACCCTGAAGAACTTTTCGGATTTCTTGTCTTCTGTCAGACGGCAAAAGAACGAACGCTGGACACAAGAAACAAGAACAGAAAAAAACCCAGAGATTGTGGATCTTATGGTCTGCTTAATGCACTTTTGATAATCGATGAATCGTGTCAAGCATTCTCCAAGCAAAAACACAAGCTCCTCTGGTTCCAACATCTCAATGTGAAGATTTGATGCTTTTCTCCATTTCATACATTTCAAAAGATCAACATTTTTCACTGTTTCCGGACATTTTATAGACAAAAAAAAAACAACAAAAAAAAACTAAAACTGATTAAACGCTTATCGAAATAGTCATTAGTTTCAGCCCTAATATAAATTACCACATGCAAAATCTAAATTTGATTTCTCCCTCCAAATTTATATTATGCCACTGATAAGTTATATAGAGTGCAGTGAACTAAGGTCAAAACATGAACATGATCTTGGGACAGATTCATCGTCTGTCTGTGTACACATTTTCTATTACATATGGGGAAACGGATCTTGACTGGACCAAAACATTATATTCACAAAACATTATATAACTATAGTGAAGCAAGTCTGGATTTACTACGATGGGAGGGTTTGAACGCTGCAGTTATGGGCTGTAGAATAGGGTTATGCCAAATTGGAACACTTTCGAGCCTGTGAACGCAATGTTTACACCATGTTTCAGGGACAGGGATGTTGTTTTGATTATGTAATCTGCTGCAGCCTATGGAAAGGCTTCGACGAGCAAAAGCAGTCTCACCAATCTTACCTTGGTGAAAAGTGACACAAGAGGGAGAAGCCTGGCTTACTTACACAGAAACAGAGTTTGGGTGGGGGGGGGACTGGAAAAAATGAGCTAGCGGCGAAAGACAGACACCAAAGAGGGAATAAGGGAGTAAAAAAGCAGATGATTGAGAGAGGGGAAACGAGAGCAAGAGATAGGAAGGGAATGTTATCAGACAGTATCTAGGCCAGTGCTCAAAGTTGTTCCATAACCATCTGTCTTTTCAGGTTAGATGTAAAACTGGGCTACTTGAGAAAACAAATAAATGAAAGTCACAAGGAAAGCGTTCAGCAAAATGGACAAAACAAGCCTCGCTTCTCCTACTTCAATGACACTGTGAGGGTGTTTGTACTAAGAATTTTACACGCATTGAAATTTAATGTTAAACACACGGCTAAATCTTTTCATTCCAAATTGAGAATAAACAACGAGCCAATTAAGTAGCCAAACAAGACAGCGTATGCAGCTTATTAACTGAACACAGAGCTAACACAGTTTTTCTACTGCATTGTGTTGCTTCCATAAGAAACAATAACATAACTGTGTGCTTGTGCGCCAAAGCAGATTCCTGAGCCTCACTGTGCCCCACCCCGGCCCTCCACCACTGAGCAGAAGCCCTCCTGCACGTACACACTCTGCCAACACTAAGGAAAGAGGAGATAGCAGCGCGGGGAGGGGTGTGTGTGTGTGTGTGTGTGTGTGTGTGTGTGTCTGTCTGTATTGGGGGGGGAGGCCTGACAAGCAAGGCCATCACGCAACTAACAACTTGATGACAGAGTGGAGAGTGCAGAGACGAGGATTAGCTGCACCGCTGGCAAAACACTCACAGCTCACAACTCACAGCATGCCTGAGGAGGGAGGTGATGGCCATTCCTGGCTGTCTGTCTGTCTCTGCTCACATTACAGTGTCCTACAGGCCGCTAAAATGTGGGCCTTCGGGGGAGGGGGGGGGGGGGGGGTTGTTGAGGCATGAGGCCCAGGTTAACACACATGGATTGGACCAGAGCAAACAGAGAGAAGCCCCCCTACCCTTTACCATTACATAAGTCGCACAGACAAACAAACACACTTGTACAGTACAAGCACACACAAGCTGGAGAGCGCATACGCTAATACACCCGCCAACTTTTACACTCATAAAACTAGGTCAGCTGTCTCCGGCACAGGCACATGCCAATTTTGAGAGGAGACGCCCACATATCACACATACAGTATTAGATCTCCCTAAAACTCTGTGAATGCCAAATTCATCCTTATGTAATCACATTCATTTTCTACTGCCTATCCTTTTAATAATGTCGCAGTCCTCGAGACAAAGACCCCAGGGATCCTTCATACAGGTGACTACTCGGCCCATAAGTCGGAAGTTTAGCAGTGAGTTGTTGCATTTTTTTTTGTCTGAACCTGAAATGTCTCTGGGATATCCCAGGTGAGAGATACTGCATTCAGACTCAGTGTGCAGTCGGGCTCACAGTGCAGGGTTGGCAGGACTAGCACCATGCCAGCAGGGGTATTTCATCTCATGGATCAGGGTTAGCTGAGCTATTATGTTTCACTGCGGTAGAGGTGAGCTTGTTTGATTGATGGTGGCTGGGAGGTCAACGTATTGGTCATATTAGAGTTATTAATTATTGTGTCCAATGTTGAAAGTCTTTACCGGCAGCAGCAATCTGAAAGAGTCATTTTTTTAAACCGTCTGTTTCTAAGAACTGAACTGAGGTTAGTGGATTGAGTGAGTCACTGAAACAAAGACAAAGCCTTGTACATGAAGCTGGAACACCGCAATGAAGAAAAAACACCACAGAAAAGTTTCATTTGATTGTTTTTTTGAGAATTGTATGCGAGGCTGCGTCTAAAAATGAATAAAAACCTAAACTTTCACGTCTAACCACAATGCTGCTTCTGTGGTGTTTTTCGATGCTGGTCCTCACACCCGATGGCAACATCTGTGCAGCCTCATCAAGACACCATCTGTGTTTTGATATCACTGGAAAAGCAAGGACCAGAGTGGCGTGGGGAGGGATGACGTTATGGATAAGGTAACACATGGTGGTCAAGGAGAGAATGGAATAAAAGTAACTGAGGATGAAGGAGAGAGAGGAGCATCTTAGCGGCCCCCTACAGTGTTGGGTAAACACAGTGTCTGTCTGTATCCATGGCGAAAAACCCTGAGTGGAATGAGACGAAGAGGAGTGGGGGGTGGGGGCGGACAACACTGAAAAACAAGGTCATCACGCTTTCCCTTCTCCCCTTCCGTTCCGCCACTTGGCATCAACAAAGGGATGTTATGTAACAGCTATTTATACTCGCGCTCCCTTTCCCTCTCACCCTCCCTCTCATGTCAGGCAGCACCACATGCAAACCAAATGCAGCTCTGTTCTCCTCCAAGTCCTTTTCCTCCTTTCCTTTGTCTCTTCCTTTTTTCCCCTCAAAGCAGCCACCTCTCTCTTTATTTTTCCACCTGAAAGAGAGTTTGTCTACTGCATTGTGTTGCTTTTGCAATATCGGTTAAACGCACCTGCAATGCAAGACTTTTTTGGAGGGAAACAAAACAGCATGCCATGCGGCTACACAACAGATGGCTGAGGAGGGAAATGTCACAAGTTGCAATGTCACAACACAATTCACAGCTGTTTTGAGCTCTCTCTCATAGTTGTCACAGAGGAGCGGTGAGGAGCCAACAAGTCCAGAAAGCACTAAAATGCATTGACTGTAAAATATTCAAAACCTCCAACGGCATGTATGCATTAGCTTTGCATGACTGCAGAACCAGAGGGTGTGTGTGAAAATGAGTGACTGTGCATGCAATGTTGAGTTATTGTGTGTGGTTTGTTTCTATTTGGTATGTAGGTCATGAGTAAATAGTTAACTGTGTTACATGAGAACAGGATATCCAAGTGGTGCTCAGTTTGGCATGTGAGACACCAACAAAAACCAACTCCTACCATCCTTTGAGTGCTTTCTTGAAGAGAGCAGCCAGCAAAAGTAGTCAGTTTTCTCTCATAGTAACACTTAAAGTTTACGGAAAAGGTATGCCTGATTTATGAATTTGAACTTTACACTGTCAGTGAAAACATATGTTTATTTATTTTTTTAAACTTACACGTAGGGAACTGTCCAGTAACTCAAAGAACACAAATATTTGTACTATGTGGCAAGTTTCTAGCACTGCATACAGAGTAGGTTGCCCGAAAAGAAACCTCCCTTTTCAGAACAAAGAATTCACGGGTGAGAGCAGCTCCAGTTTCTCCTCAATCCCCTCTGTGTTCCCCCGTCCATCCCCCCTCTCTCCCCACTGCCCCAGTTCCGGAGGCCCAGTATGACCCAGTTTGGGCCGGCAAGAGAGTGCAAGGGAGCGGGAGAGGCTGGTATGTTTTGTAGGCTGAGACATTCCTCATTGTTCATTCACACAGGGCTTATGTAACGCAGACGGATCACGTGATGTAGCGCTGCAGCAGCCGTGGGAAGCCAAAGCATTATCTTCGCCACAGTGGCTTCCTTGCTCTAATCTGATTATGCAAGCCCCGTGCTTCCACAACAACACACAGACAGAGAGACAGATGGAAAGACAGGGGGATCAACAGACAGAACTACAGACAGACAGAAAGACAAGGAGATCAACAGACAGAGCTACAGACAGATGGAAAGACATGGAGATC